GGCACTACATGTTGTATTTGCAGATAAACCAGCTACCCGCATTTGATAAAAGTGAAAACAAATCAATTTATAATGGATTTTCGTGGCCTAAGATGTTGAAGATATAATCGATTCCCATGTTACATTCAGACAACAAAATTAGAGTGAAAACGGTTTTAAATCCGTTTTTTTCTCCCTAAAACAAAATGCAGTATAATTCATTTGAAATCCATTATAATGGATTTTATAATTAGTAGGAAATCACAATAAAATGGTTTTTTTTCCGCGTTATTTTTGTTTCGCGTGTCGTGCAAAATTTTGCAAGAGTTTCTGCACTTATCAAGTAATAAATGCGGAAATTTTGTAAACCGAGTGTACGGCCTAATCCATTTCTAAACTTAAACTCAAATTGCAAAAAGATTCCGTTAAGCTTCTCCCCCACCCCTAACGTTTGCCCCTTTGCTCCCATTCAATCCCCCTTACGTTTCCCCCTTTGCTCCCCTCCCCTCCCCCACTACTGAACCCTCCACCCGCCGACCCACTGAGCCCCCCCCCCTACCACCTGAACAGCCCCACCTGAACACAACCCCCCCCCACACACACACACACATGAACACAACCCCCCGCCCCCGCCACCTTGGTTTTGTAAACGGAAAAACGCTAGAGAGGTATTGGAAGGGGGATTAGTCCACCTCCAACTTTACCCCCCACCCCTCAAAGTTTTCTGGTAATTTAACAAAATTGTTGAAAGGAAAAAAATTCAGTTTTTGAGTAACATAAAAAATATATCATAGGTAGGCAGAAAAAAATCAATTGAACAAAAGGTAACCAACGTAACCAACTTTAGTTTAATAAGTAGAAAAGACTTTATGTGTGTTGAAATTCGCGTCTCATTAAGGTGGGAAAAAATCGATTATATTTTATTTTCCTTGTCAGTATCCACAAAAGTGAAAAAAAAATCGATTATAATGGATGAAAAAAGGATTTTGTTGCCTCGAAAAATAGTAATATTTTAATCCATTTTAATTGATAATAATCAATTTGTTTTCACTTTTGTCGACACTGACAACAAAACTCAATTATAATTGATTTTTAATCATGGAACTCCAATGCGGGTATACTTGTTAGTTCATTGTTTTCGCATAATCGTTTTGTAAAAATTGAGTTTTTGTCCAAAAACCCTAAAAATTTTTTCTGATTCGGCATGAAAAAAAAATACAAATCTCTTAACGAGTTTTATATCACAGGCAACCAAGTGCATCAAAAAGTTTCTCTTTGAATGCTCGTTTTTGAGCCATTGTTTCTAGTTCTCTAAATGTATTCACCAAATCTAATTGGTCCCTCTAGATCTAAATGGTCTTTATAACCCGTTTGGTATGCTCGATAGCATACTTTCAACTACTATCAATGTCTATCTGAAATAATCATTAAATTCTAATATGCCATAAGGAACTAAATAAATCTAACGGATATTCAAAGCAATTTTGAAGTTCCCTGGGAATGATGTAAGGTTTATCAGTTCCAGGGAATTATCATTTACCCAACCTTGCTATCAAAGCGTTCGTATGGTAATCGTTTGATCTGTAGTGAGCAATGAACTTTAAAATACACTAATAAACCAAGGCAAGATATTAGGCACGTTCATAAAAAGATAGTACAACGTTTTCTGTTTTTTCAAAATAGAAATAATTTTATCTTTTTTCCTGGTCAGCACTTCAAACTATGAAAAAAAAATTGTTATCCGATCAAATTATCGACCTGTTTTGAGCATTTTGAAGCTGTTTTTACATTAATTTAGCTTCAATTTATGTGAGCTTTTCATGGTTTCTTTTTTACATTGAAAAGAAACTAATTTTCCCTAAGTGAATTTTATTTTACAAAAACAAAATAAACATCAAGCTGTTCAGCTCTTTAAAGACAACAGGTGCTGGCTTGGTCTTCGAGTAAGGCCCGTACAGAATTCCCCAACATGGCTCATTCGCTTTTAAAAAATTAAGAACTCTATGACTACCCGGGTTGACCAAAATGTGCAAGTATACGTCGCACTATGCATGGTTCCATGCAAGCCATGAAAACTTGCCGGAGTAGTTTTATGTTCAAGAAGCAACTTATGACTGGAGGACTTCATGTTAGACAACATATGATTGCTATCGAAATATGTGTGAGGCGACGTATGATTATCAGGAAAACATTTATGGCGTTATATTTGGTTACCATGTAACCCTAAATAGAAACTGAGAAATCAAATTTAATCAATATTCTCGTGGGCTTCAAAGACGTTTGTAGTAAAAATATTTTTACGCATTCAGAGAGAATTTGCAGTTCTCAAGCCAACCGAACAATTATCCGATTCCGATGTAGAATAGTTTACCCGATAAGGAAGAAAACTGTACTCGATGACGCCGGCATAACTAATGAACGTTGAAAAACCTTTTCATATAACCGTCTTAAGCAAAACGTCTTAAGCATTTCATATATTCTCGAATCATTTCTTGTGAAACACGAAACATTATTAAAACAAGCACAACATGAAGATTAAGAAAAAAATCCAACACAGATGCAAAGCGGAGCTCCGCATCTCTTGCGATACAACCAAAGCGAAGCGTAAAAATACACGCTATAAAACATAAATGACAGTTGCAAGAAGTTATAAACGCAAGAAAACAGACAAAAACTGAAATATTTTTAAACCAATTTCAACGCTCGAGTTTAAAGAAAAAACTTATGCAATTAGAGCTTTTGGATTTTCACGAACAATTTGTGATTGGTGTTGTTTTGATACCCATTAGATAAAAATTTTTCTTGCTCAGGGAAATCTGAAATTTTGTTCTACTTTCGAAACTAGAAAACGATCACATTTTTACCAATTTTAACATTTTCCTAATTGAAAAGCTCAACTAAATTTTAGCATATGCACATTGCTTTGCACTTTTAAGAAGGTTTTGACCATACAATCCGTATTTTTTTGGCAAGCCCCCCCCCCCCCACCCTCAAAACAATTGAATACTTGAAGCTAGAGGATTATTCAAGACCACAGGGGAGTTGGACGTCTTTCCAAAAATTTCCCTTTTTAAAAATCAGTAGATTAGTTTGCAAAAAATGCCGACATTCTTTGAGCAGAAAACACTGTAGCAAAAAATTGCTTGTATACATTTTTAAAATTTTTAAGTCTCCCTTGAAGTTACAATCACTTGCAAGCAGCATCATATTTGCCAACAGCACATGAAAAATCTGTGATTTTGCATCAGAGTTTACTTTGTTTTGCTTGTGTGTTTTATTTTAAGTAACGGGGATTTCCTATGGGAAAGTAGTTTTCATACAATGCACTTTATATGCTGCCACGTGTGATTTGCACGGTGAAAAAAAATCTCGGTGAAATAATTTGCACGGTGAAATAATAAAAGCGTAACGTGTACTAAAGATAAGTGTTCTGATTTTTTTCGTCATTTCAACACTGTTTTCACGTTTTTCAGGAATTTGCCATGAAAATTCTCTTGCATACATAACTCAATATATGTTGTGACGTATGATTAACATGATGAGAAGTTTTCATATCTTACGAGCAGCTTGCATAATGATGATAAATTGTTTTAATTCTAATTTAGTTAAACAAAAATCAATTTTGAGTGTTTGCTAAACAAACGAATGCTCTCTCCATGGTTGGTCATTTTTCATACATAGCATGAATCAATGTGTATGGTTGCGCAATATTTTTTCCTGGCAAATCGGGTATAATTCGACAAAATTGAAATATTGGTTTTAGATGACTAACATTTTACAGTTAAAGAACAAAAAATTTGTAAAATGTCTGGCTGGACATCAAACAATGCTTCGTCATTTTTTCTGTGTATAACTGATTCTGAACTGTGTTTCAGCTTATATTTGTGCATGCCAAAAATTAGTTAGTCATTCAATTGCTAAATGTATGATTGAATCATACGATTGCCATACCATATGTCTGTCCGAGAAAAATCATTTTGTAAGTATCCTAGGCAAAAGATTTGAATCGCTAGCAGATATTGTTGTCAAATTCTACGGAATTAATACGGAAAGTCCTCCCTGTTTCAGCATTCTACCATGGAGCAGCCCGTGTTGACCTCGTAGGGATAGTCAGCCCTGATGAAGCAATATACTTTGAATCAGAACTCCAAATGTACTGGTCTTGGATAATTGGCCACTGATCAGGGCCTGAAACAGCGATAGAAGTTTTATCTATAGTGCAGCATTTAATCATAGATCAGTGTAACGATGGTTTTCCAAGTTAATGCTGATTCAGAGATAATTAAGAGCTAACTCCGAAACTCTTTGCTCTTTCAGAGATGGTTCTGCATTTTTTTCAGAGCTGAGACTTTCAGCGCTAATTCAGAGTTTATTCAGCACTAATTCCGATTTTCATCTAATTTTTTGTCCTAGTCATGGATAAGCGGCCACTGATCAGGGTATGAAACCGCGATTAACATTTTTATAAGTTGCAGCACTAATTTAGCATAGATACTTCAGGCTAATTCTACGAAAAGGTTGCCGTTTTAGAAATGATTCAGCGCTGATTCAGACCTACGACTTTCAGCACTGATTAAAAGACAAATTAGAGCAAATATCGAAGAAATTTATCAAGTTATTTTTCTGATCAAAATCATGGCCTGAAACAGAAAGAAATATCGCAGCGAAGTAAGCCCGAATCAATTTTGGTGCATGGAGGTCAATCTGGGTTGTTTTCTCTTTTTTTCGGGTCGGGGCAAAAATGTGTCAGCCTTAGGCAACAATTAGGGATATCGGTGTGCCTTGGTCGGCCAACCCTAAGACTGAGAGACCGAGAAACTCTTGCTTGCAAAAGTTTTCGAAGTTTCAGAGATCTTTTGTTGGATCTCTTTCACTCTTCTCTCCCTTTGGTAGCTTGTAACGAATTTACAATGAACAAAAATCAACGGTCAAGCATCTGTGAATTTTGTACCTAGAAAAGAAACCCCCCTTTTGCGAAGGAGGGGGGTATAGTTACAGATAACGTTTTTTTTGTATTTTAGCTATCCAAAGTGCAGTTCAGATTTACTTCGACGGCTACGACAAACAAGCCATCTGGTCTTCTGGTTACGTCATAGCCAAGTCGACGGTCATTTCAGCTGTGAACACATGTCACTTTGATGTCACCTACTTCCCGTTCGATAGTCACGTGTGTGAATTGGAGTTCATACCTATGATTACTCACAACGACATCTTCTATCTTTACTGTGGGTACAAAAAAGGATTACGTAACAAAAAGTAGCCAAGTCTTTTAAGTATAGACGTCATAAAGTAGACAAATAAAACAATAACCAATAAGAGTTGAGAAAAGAAAACAAACTTAGCAAAAATATAATTTTTAATTTTTAATTTTCCAAGTATGCTTTCTGTTCTCGATTCTGATTGGTTAAAATAGTTTACGTCTACTTCTCGGCGAGTGTGAAAGAAAATTTGTCTACTTTTTGACATAAGTTTACAAAAATTCCCTTGTAATCGAATCCATCTTACGTTATCGTTTTGGAGTAACCTAACGGTTTTCCAAAATTTAAGTAATAAAGTGCTCAATTTTTTTGACGCTGTTTGTTTTCAAATTAAAGATTTCTGGTTTTCTGAAAATCTGAATTTTTGCAGTGTTTTGCAATTCCCATAGCGCTTTGTCATTTTAAAGCCAAATGTTTTTTCCATATTTTTAGTTTCAAGGATTCTCGCAGTCGAGTCTTAAACTTATTTGTTCACATTTCCCAGTTTTTGGCGCTGATGATTTTAGACAGGTTGTTGCTGTGAGCGTCAAAAACACATAAAGAGCAATATTGCTAAATTTTAAGTAGACCAAATTGAATTTTCTAGCTCTCTCAAAACAAAATACAAAAAATGATTTTGCCTTGCTTTAAAATAAGTGCTAATACATTCCTGACCCGCAGGCTGCCTATGATTCAATATGTTAGTCAATAATGTCCGAAAAAATGTTTCAAAGCTTGAGCTTACTTAAAATCAAACTCGAAATCTGAAAGAAAGAACAAAACAATCCATTTCTTGTAATGTTTCAATCTCATGTTTTCGCTATATTTTCGATAAAATGCACGTTCTGATTAAATGATTTTTTTCAGAGTTTCTCTTTTTCTGTAACAAATGCGAATATTGTTTCAGTGGTGGACGAGTATTTAGACCTGGCTAACTACCGCACGAGTGAGCAATGGGAAATTGTGACACCTGTAAAAGCCGAGGCTTTCACTGATGCATACAGACATGGAGGCTCATCCAGGTTTGAAATTGACTTAAATTCTAATTTTTTTTAAAAAAAAGTTGATCCACGATTAAAAATCTGGTGCTATTCAATTGATAGGGCTTGATATGAAATACGACCAAAAAAAGTCGCCACTTGACCTTTAATTACTTCAAAAGTGACATTTTTGCAATTTCACACAAATAGTTTGTAAAAAAAGCTTGTTATGCATTAATACTTCTGCTGATTGTGTAATTGCATTTTACTATAAATGCAGTTTTTGATGATAAAAAATATACATAATCAGTTATTCCAGATAAAGATGAAAGTTTACAAAACATCTAACTGAGTGGACATTATTTGAAAAAAAAACTATGTACTTTTTGCGAAAAATGCGGGTCACTCTCCTATTAATTGTTATAAATTTAATGTCAGATCAATTATTTTCTGCGAATTCCAGATTTGATCTGAATTCGTTGACCCAATAATTAAAAAAATGATTGCTTGGAAAAAAAGACGCATTTTAACCACTATTTGCACGTAACTATAATGGTGTATTGTTTGATTTGAAAAAAAAACGATAAAAGTTAGAAGAAAAAAAACCTAAACAATTTCAAGGAAATGTAATGCAAAGCACAAAATGAACGTTTCAGCGTATAGTTATACAGTCATTCGAACAACTAGTATGCCTCATTTCACTCTGGAAAATTTCTGAAACAGTTTAAAAAGTAGAAAGCGTTAATAGGACGATTAACAGCGCGCGTTAAGTTTTAAATAGCCAATTTTAAAACTTCATAACACAACCAAAAAAAATACAGCTTACAAACTGATTAATAAATGGGCACAGGGCATCGATAGTTTTGAGATTTTTCAAAAGTTGAATCGAAAGTGGCGTTTAATCTAAATAAATATTTATAAACAATGTCTGTTTATATTTTTCTGCTATGAAAGAATTGCTTTTTGAAACTGTTTTTGAAGACATTTTGATGTTGTACTTTTCTGCCTCAACGTTTTGCCGGTCAAATGAAAGCATTATTGAAACAAAACTGCTCGTATCAGGGCGAAGCCGTGAATGTTTCGAGTGCCCATTATGATTTATGGAGCAGTAAAAACATTAAAAATTAAATGAAAGAAAAAAAATGACAATTTCTTTTTTCTAAAATTGATTTTTTTTTAAATTATCCACCCACAGGCCATAAAAAGCGCAAAAGGATAAACTTCGATCCTTGTAGCCAATCAATTATGGCGTCTTTCAATTAATTTGGAACAATTTCTAAGACGGATTAACTCTCCGCTTACGCGTTAATAGCGCAAAGTATTTCGCTTGTTAATCTTCGGAAATTGGCCAAAATGGCAATTTTTAAACCCCCGTAACTTCACGAAAAAAAATCACAGGTGAAATTTCTTTTCAAATTTGAGCTCAAAACAACAATGTTTTTTGCCTTTAAATGATATAAATTAAATTCCGTCAAAACTGGTTAGTAAAAAATTCGAAACTTGTCTGAAGAAAAAAAACCCACGCCGAGCACAAATATTCCGTTACTTTCGTATCGAAAGTCGGAACAATAATTCAAACTTATAATTCTGAGATTGAAGCTGGACAAAAACGTTATAAGTAAACCTTTCAAGTGCGTTTTGAGTAAACCAATTTAAGGCAATTTCAAATTTGAAAATGCTTTTTCTTTCACTGGAAAATGCTCATTGTATTTTTTTATTCTATGCTAATGAGGTGACATTTTTCTTTTTTCACAACCAGTGTTCATCGCCAGCTTAAGCTAACCAAACAGGGAAAGGAAAGGATTTGATTTGCAAATTGTTTTTCACATACATTTTTTGGAAAAACTGTCTACTCTTTAAATAAAAAAATGAAGAATTACGCTCTTCTTTTCAATCCAATTTGATGTTTGAAAATTTTTGACGTAACTGTCGCTTTCATTGTAAAGTTACGATGCCCTGGAAAAGTATTTGACCTATGATCAGTTTTGTAAGACTGAAAGGTTTCAAAAAACGATTTTTTCCGACTTTCGATACGAAAATGACGGAATGTTTGTGCTCGGGGTAGGTTTTTTTTTCTTCAGACAAATTTCGACTTTTTAACTAGCCATTTTTTACAGAAGTTTTTTTAATCATTCAAAAGGTATTGTTGTACTGAGCTTAAATTTGAAACGGTATTTCACCTGTGAGCTTTGTTCGTCAAATTATGGGGGTTTAAAGACTGCCATTTTGGCCAACTTGGGAAAATTAACGCGCGAAATATTTCGCGCTATTAACGCGTAAGCGGAGAGTTAATCCCGCTTATAAATCGTACCAAATTGTCTGAAGGAAGCTTATTTGCCATAATTGATTTGTTACTAGGAGTGAAATCTATCCTTTTGTACTTTATATGGCGTGTGGGGGATGATTTTTATAAAAAAATTTCAAATTGTAGAACAATTTTTTTCCATTTTGTTTTATTTCATTAAATTTTTTAATGTTATCACTGCTCCATAAACATTAAAAGGCAGTCGGAACATTCAGGGCTTCGCCCTGATACGAGCAGTCTTGTTGCTATTTTGGAATGATTCTTTAAACATGATATCGTTCGATGTTTACAATTAGTTTGGCTGAAAACCTCGGCCAATCTGAATTAAAGCCAGCAATATAGTCTCTGAGCCTGAAAACTGAAGCTTGGTCTCTATGGAAGTGTGAATGGAATCTGTAAAAAGATAACTTTTGGTTTTTCCAACCGTTTTTTTGAACTCATTACAAATTGAACCGAGGCATGCTTTCTGGTTTATTTATTACCCTTATTTATGCAGAATATACTACTTTTTTGTTAAATAGCGTGTGGGGGAGATAATTTAAAAAAAATTGGTCTTTTTTTATTTTCTTCAATGTTTTCAGGCACACACTACTCCATAGACAGTATAAGGCAGTTGAAACATTCAGTGCTTCGCCCTGATACCAACAATCTTGACATTTTGGAACCAAATCTCCAATCTCATCCTCGAAAATTCAAATAAAAGTAGCTCTTTTATGTTTAGACACTTTATTCAAATTCAGTAGCGGGTTTTTCGGACCTTTCTTTCCAAGAGATTCGAAACTCTGGCTTCCCAAAAAGTCCTGCTTTTGTACTTTTTCGGATTTCCCATTTTGGCTTAGCGGGTTTTTCGGACGCTTCTTCCTAAAAGATTCGAAAGCCTGGCTTCCCAAAAGGTCCTCCTTTTGTACAGCTTTCAGATTTCCCTTTTTAGTTGGCTGTACCTAAAGTTATTCTGAAGGCGCTTTTCGCACCACTATATACTAATTTTGAATGGGGAGAGCGCGCCAAATATGCGTAACTTTTTTGTCAAAATTGCCCCAAAAAGTGTCTAAAAACGTCGTTTTGGCCTCTTTTTTCAAAAATTTGCCTGCAGTCCATTAAATTTAGCCAAAACAGGGTTTTTAGTACCTGAGATAGCTCGGAATATCTATTTTCTCGACCGTTGAAAAAATGGCCGACAAAATTTACGAAAATTCGCCCATCTTCGAGAAAATCTTCGCCGCTGCTCACATTTACACATTCGCCCTTGCTCACATTTGCTCACAACATTAAAAGAAATAATTCATTTTTTTAAACTTAAGCCATTGAGGTTGTAACCAAAATTACATTACTGCTACACGTTTAATTCTAGTCCACGAAACGCGAATTAATTTTGTGGAGCTTACATTTTTCAAACCACATGCAATTTTGGTTGTCTGAATTTCATTCTAGGTACACAATTCTGCGCTACAGTGTGACCTTGAAAAGAAGACCTCACTTCTACATGATGGTGTTGGTGTACCCCATAGTAACCATCTACATCTTCTCCGGTCTCACTTTTCTAGTACCTCCCGGATGTGGCGAAAAGGTGCGCCACTTTTTAGTCAAAAAACTGGCTACTAAGACTCTTTGTGCATTTCTGCTGAATCATCATGAAAAGAATATAGTTGAAGTTCTATCTACATAAAAGTTTCAAAAGCAAATCAAAAACCAAAAATGCTAAACAAAATTATTTTAAACTGTTTTCCGAGGTTGCCTTTTTATCATCCTCTATTTTGACTTAAAATTTTGTCAAAGTTGGTAAATTGCTTCTTTTAAAAATAAGGTACATGTCCTTATTTTTTGCAACCAACGCCCTTAATCTGAAATATTCGAAATTTTCAACAAAATAATTTCTGAATATATTTTTTTCAGGTGTCGTTTGCGATTACCATTCTGCTGGCGCAGATTGTGGCATACAGTTCTCTGAGTCAGATATTCCCCAGGAGTTCCGACTCCTTTCCCATCCTCATTGACTTCGCCAGTAACGTCACAGTGCACGTCGGACTTCTCTGCTGCGTCGCCATCTACGGTACGGAGAAATGAGGGGGTGGAATTTTGAGCTAGCTGTTTAGTTTTTAAACTAAGCAGTCACATATTTGACTATGATTTTTCATTACAGGTACCTGCACAAAATCCCCATCCATCGCCATTATACCCAGCCCCCCTCCCCCCGCCCACACACACGCTCACACAAAACATATGTTACATATCTGTACTATGCATACTTTGCTCATTTCATGTCTATCAACTTGTTCATTTCATAGTGTTTTTTTGGATCTAATTAAGAAAAATCTTTTAAAAAGATCAAATTAACTAAAAAGAGGGACATAAACTGATGTAGCAATCAATTATTTTATGATTTTTCAATTATTTGTAATTTTTAGCAGTGACTCTACACCACAGTAAGTCAAAATGTATGATGGGACCTAAACTTCAAAGAATTGCCCGCTCCGACTGGGTACGATTCATTGGTGTTGAGACATTTTCATCCGCTCAGAAACTCATTTCGAATTCCGAACCTGAAAATGGAAAGAAGGATGTTTTTCAAGACACCGCAGAGGATTGCAACGGAATTAATAAAATGAATTTGCGGAATGCTTCCGCGGGGATTGAACACCAGACCTCTGATGTGTTAGATAAAAAGGAGATGAAGCTTCTTTGGCAGCATTTGGCGGTTTTAGTTGACAGAGTTATGCTGATACTTCATGCTCTATGTGTTTTGTGTGTGTTGACTTACTACAAACTGAAAATTTCCCGTTGATTATCAGACGACAAATTCTGAAAAAGTGCACTCGAATTTAGACGAATAGAAGGTTAAATTAAAACAATTTGGCGATAAGCATCCTAATCTCAATGCAGTTTTCATTGCACTTTCATCAATTCATATAAATCTTGTAGAATAGCCCTTTGTTTGATTTTAAAAAAAATGATGGTTTTTAATTACGATTTTCATTTTTTTAAACAAATTGTTCGGTTCCTTACCAGCCAGCTCAATCAATGAACGCTTTCAATTTTTTTTATGAATGCAAAAAGTTAACCTTTGCCAGCATGATATAGTTCATGAATTAAAGTTTCTAGTCAAATTTAATCTTGAAAAGCCAAGAAGCCAAAAGCATTTTAACGAAAAAACTTTGCCATAAGACTACCGGAAAGTTCATACGTAACTCATCAAAGCAAATTGACTGATATTAATAAGAAGTGTTTTAACAAAAAAATTGTTTCAAAACTTACAAAAGAAACGAAAACCAAAGACACCGTTTTTCACAGAAACTATTTATAATCACTTGGCAGATCTCTCAGTGGGATCTAAAATTACTTCTACCAAATAAAGGTTTGAAAAATGTTTTGGTGGTAATATAAAAAAGCAGAAAAAATGCTATAATCTCAAACTGTTGATATATTCTCTCACTAAATTCAAATGAAATGGTAACTGAGTCAATATGTATTTTGTTAGCGGGAAACCAAATTTTCAATGGAAAACAAAATGCTACTTTCTGCTAAACTGAAAATAGAAAAAAAAACCTTTTTTTAAATAACTCAATCTGAATTCAAATGAAAAATTCAGTTTGATTTTTTTAAAGTTTTTGTGTAATCTTTGACCAATGACAAATGACAAAACCACCTAAATTGAATTTATTTTGATTTATTCGAAGATCTCATTGCAAATAGAGCAGGAGATTTCGAATATAAAAAATTGCTAAAAAGTGAATTTTAAACAAAATTTCAACGTTTCGACAGAAAGAGGCGGGGCTGTTCTTTCCATTCAAACTTTTGCAGTTACCAAACTGTTTAAGACTGGAACGAGATTAAAGTGTATTGATGAAAAGCAACAAAATAAAAATTTTGGTTGATAATTGTTATTTTAACACTCTTAGTAATAGAATTAAGTACAGATGCGTCATAAAGGTCTAAAATTTACTTTGTGTAGTCAAATAAAAATGAATAACCGGGGCTGACGTACTGTTTAGTTAATGAGGGTAATTATTTTTATCATTTTCAGTAAAAATGTGAAAGGCAAAAATTATAAAAACCAGATAGTTTTTGGAGGTTTTCATTTTGCTGGAGTCAAATGATTTTAACTAGTCTTCTTTGTTTGCGAAAACCATTTACCATAATAGCTGCCAGCACCGACCAATATATTCAAATGAATATTTCCGAGACGGAGACCAGGTCGGTTTATGCGGAAATAAACTAATTAAGTAGGCGGAAATTTAAATTTAACTCAGGATACGATCCAGGGTCCGCTATTATAAAATTATGAATATAATTAGTCATATTTTGTCATGTTTAGGGGCTTTGTCTCTATTTTCGTTGAAAGTGGTTAATTTTGAGGCCGCAATTTTTCAAAAACATTTGATCAATTACTGAAAAAAATATTTTAAAATTTTTTTGAATTAAAATTAAGTTAAAGAGAAGTTATTTCGAATAAAGTAACTCAATGACATTGGTAAAACACTTACTCTGAAAGTTGGACCAAGAAATTTAAATCGGTTTTAATCGATTAAAAATGGATTATTTTGCCTCGAAAACAAGTTTCACTTTCTTTCAAAAATAATCGATTATAATTTTATTGATTAGAAAAATAGTTTCAGTATAATCCATTTTCAATCGATTATTATCAAAATTTATTGAGCCCACGAAAATTCAATATAATGGATCTTTATCCATTGAACACCGGTGCGGGACCAATACATATAAGGTCTTCGGAATGATTCATCACTTGATGTTTAACACATTGACCCACAATTGACTCACCAAAATACAAATACAGTCCTTCACTTATCAGCCGGATCGAAAATTTATAACAACGAAAACCAAGATTCAAAATCATCGAAATCCTAAATTCAAATCTACAAAAAATTCTTGAAGATAAACTTTCAACAAACCGCAGACGTTTTCTGACGCAAAAATTACAAAAAGTTTTTAAATAGTCATATCATATCGACTTTAATAAAATTTTAAATCAAACTTAATTTTTCAAGTTGCAAACAAACACTTTCATTCTTATAAAAAAATGATTGTCCGATAAATGGCAATTTTAAACAAGCGCGTGGCTTCTGATGACTTTTAGTTTATTTTCAGTTGAACTAAGTTGGTTAACGACCAGTAGAACGCAAAGCTTCAATTCAAAACAAAAAAAAAACAGTTTTTTTTTTAAATAAAACTATCGTTTTTTTGGCTCATGTTTTTTTTAAATTTTCAGATTTTTTCAGAAATTAGGATCAAACAACGATGCAATTTGAAAGCTTTTTTATTTTGTTGTTTTTGCGTAGCAAGTTTCTGTGCTGCTGGCACATCGACTGCTTATACTTGAGTTAAATCAAACACCCATTATGATTAATGTCATTTAATGAAAAACCGGCAATCTTTACAAGTAGTTGTGTTAATTTGCATATTTGTTTTGATTACTTCATAGAACAGTGGATAATACCTCATGCATTACAAATATCCAAAGAGCAAAAGTTTTAGACTCTACTTCAAAGCATCCGGTGACATCAAACTTATAAAATGATAAGCTATGAAAACAAGACTGCTCGGATCAGGGCGATGCCCTGAATGTTCTGACTGCCTTTTAAGATTTATGGAGCAGTAATAACAATAAAAAATTAATCGAAATAATTAAAAAAATGGAAAAATTTTTTCTTTTAAAATTGAAATTTTTTTATGAAAATCATCTCCCCACACGCCATATTAAGTAGAAAAAGATGTACATCGCTCCTTGTAACAAATCAATTATGGCAAATAAGCTTTTTTCAACCAAATTGGAACGATTTCTTAAACGGATTAACTCTCCGCTTACGCGTTAATAGCGCGAAATATATCGCGCGTTATTTGCCCCAAATTGGCCAAAATGGCAATCTTTAAAACCCCATAACTTTAAGAAAAATGATCACAGGTGAAATATCTTTTCAAATTTGAGCTCAGGACTACAATACCTTTTGAATGATAAAAAAATTCCGTCAAAAACGGCTAGTTAAAACGTCGAAATTTGTCTGAAGAAAAAAAAGCCCACCCCGAGCACAAATATTCCGTTACTTTCGTATCAAAAATCTTGGAACCATAACGTTTTTCATCGACACAGTTCCAGATCTGATAGAAAGGCCTAAAATTTTGGGTTATTCTGACATGAATTCCAAAGTATCTTGGTTCGTCTTGATCCATTTTGTCAATATGAAATTTTCAGTCTGCAAAACATGTGTAAGATCTGCAAGGATATTGATTGATGCGCTGATCTCACAAATTTCCATAAATAAATTGGCACATACAAGCAGCTATGTCCTGAGAGGAGCATTTCGTTTAGACTCTCAGTTTTCTATTTAGACTAAGCCTTCTATAATTATCAAGCTGCTCCTGGGACTGCTCCTGGGACTCGGAATGAAAAAAACTCTCTGAGTTTAACCCACTTGATACTCAGACAGACGGGAAAATTGATAACGTCCCTGTATTAACGCAAACTTCGAAGTGAGACAAACCGCAACTGTGGATATTATTCCATTTACTAGAGCTTTTAATGATCGGCCTTAAACAAATTGGGCGCTACGTAGAAACGATTACTTCGTCCTTGCCTCCTTTTCGTATAAAACAAAAGTCACTATAAAAAATGTCAATTTTTTCTTGATTGCGTTTTAGCTAAAAATCTCTTTGTTCAATTTGGCGGTACAAAAAATTTATTTCTGATTCTTGACAGAGCTATGTATGCACTTCTTTCTCATTTGAAACTCAGCTGAAAACACAACAAGAAAAAAACCATTTTCCCCAATCAGCGCCCCAGAATTTCACTCTTTATTGGGTTGTTTAGTAGAAACCAGTTAAAAGTTTCTGGTCTCATTTTTATTGTGGAGAAGAAAAAACATGATCAAGTAGACGGGAAGAAAAGCCACGAGGGCGAAGAGGCTGATACTGACTCCGCAAAGAAAATCACGAACAGAGATCAATTCAGATAAGCTCACAATTGACTTCGCTCTGCAGTTGCGTGCGCATTGCTGTTATGTGGGGAGAGCCGGTAACAAAGCCGGTAGGGAATACTTTTGTATAATCTCATTTTGGACACACCCCCCTTCTTTGATTCTTCTTGCAACAAGGACACGTTTATAAGCTGTGATGAGTCTTAAATTATCTGATGAGTCTTGTGATAATCTTAAATTATCTCTTTATTTGGTTGCTCTTTTACTCATTTATTTTATGAGCAAGATATCTGAACTTAACCAGTTTTCGCATTAACTAGTTTTGGCATTAACCAATTTTGGCATTTTGGAATTTAGTTATCGTTGACAATTTTTGGGGTGGGCAATTAGTTACGTTCCCAAATGTCATAGATAGCCCGCCTTCGGTTGTAATTATAAGACTTCCCTCTCTTCTAAGGTCACAAATATGTTTATAAACCCGTTCCTGTGAAAATAGCCGCTTAATCTATGATGAAAAAAAAAATCATTTACAATGAAAAAAATAATTGTATTCAAAAGGGCACAAAATTCTTCTTTCAAATGTTTGATTACTCGAAAAAATTGCGTTCACAAAAATTACTGCGATTTTGATTTTTTTTCTGAATTTTTGAACTTTCTGAATTGCTCTAATTTATGAAATTCAAGCATTAGCAAAGAAATATAGAGCGCTGTGAAATCCGAATTTTGAATTTTGAAAACACTCATCTTGAATTCAACGGCGCAGTTTTCCTTTTCTGCCATGGGACTTTTGTAAAAAAAAACCCATTGGCAGAAAATAAAAACTGCGCCGTTGAAGTCAAGATAAATGTTTTCAAAATTCAAAATTCGGATTTGCTAATGATGCTTTAATGTTGCAGGGAGAGTCCCCAGGGGGAGTTATCGAGGAAACAAATAAGTTCATCCACATCCTAGCCTGTCCCTGGAAACTCCCAGTCGCCTTCCCTCCCCTCCTCGATACCTGCACAGGTGGCCTTG